CCCCAAAACCCCAAAACCCCAAAACCCCACAATTCTTAGAAATTTTATATAATTTAGCCTAGTTAATTTGGATATGAAGAGGAAGAAGTCGTTAAAACAAAGATCGAAGGAGCACAGAGAACGAAAGAAGCAGTATATTCAGATGTTGGAGGACAAGGTTAAAAATCTTGAGAGAGAAAACCTTGGTCTGAAACAGCAATTGAAGCAGACTAAAGAGAAAGATAAGCGGGTAACTTCGGTGAGTAGGGGCAGGAGAGGAATAAAATATTAGGGTGAGATTTATCAAGAATATGAACTAAGCAGGTCATTGAAATCAAGTAGAAGGATAGAAATTTATGAAATGATAAAAATTAGAAATATCGTGTTCCGATACACCTTGCACTTTTATATAAATATTGAAATTGCTAGAATAAAAGCTATAAAATTACTCTATCCATCATCCTTCTGACCTTTATTTGAATTAACCAATTATAGCAAAAGCTAGCTGGTCAGTCTTGTATTTATAAATATAATTCATCTTTGCAAGAGTGTGAAGATTACTACTTCAATACATTAGGAAAAAAGATACTTCTAGACCCGACCCAAGTCAGATACTCAGAACTAGAACAAGCAGGGGAACAAATATATGATTATAGGTACTATTTTGATTCTGTGACTCAAGTATAACCAAATAAAATATAGTGAGAAACGAAGAAAATATCTTAAGAATACATTCAAAGGTAGTATATCTTTACATACAATAGAATTTCTTGACAACATTATGAACACTGAAATGAAAACAATTGCAGCTGCATGCAAATAACTTAAGTCCGAGTGAAGCCAAGAGAAGATCTAAGGTAATTATTCCCCAATTGTTTTGGACCAAGTTCATTGAATACTGTTTGCATATTTCATAGCCTAAGAAGAGAGCAAAGAAATATTTAAACAAACTCGATCCCTCATATCCTACTGATTTCTTGTTCTCAGACAGTTTTAGTCTAACTGCATCAGATTTCTTCGAAAGCAGTGGCAAGAAGATGCTGAGTTATTTCAAAACTATGAAGCAACTGTAAATATATTTCTGAACAGTTTAGGATCAAGAAGCTGGTTGAAGTCAGAAACCAAATTTTCAACGTTCAATCTAAAAGCAAAGAGTTTATAGAGTCACAAGAAGTCATGACGTAAGAACTTGCCATTAATTACAGATATACTAAGGAAGATGTGTCAAATATTTTTAAATTGTACTTTGAGCTAAAAGATTCAAAGTTAAGTACTTCTCATCACCTATGGGATATTCCAATCAAAACGCATAGTAAAGAGCTGTACGAGGAGGGAGAGCTGACTGACTAAATAATTATGTCAAGGAACTTTAACAAGATTATTTTTGTGATAGAGAAAGGTAGAACTACTAAAATAATATTTCAGCTAGCTAAATTTAATTCGGGGTTTTGGGGTTTTGGGGTTTTGGGG